GTGAAGATGTGGTCGATACAACCTCGATTAGGTCTAAAACCAGCCTGGTTCTCACTCTTCCCGTGCGACATACAATTGACTAGAATTCAGCTCTCTCCTTGAGAGCCACGCCAACGCCAGCAAGACCAGAAGCCGCAACCTCAGGGTCCCCTGAAGGACGTATTTGAAACTTCGCGGATGGGTTTGACGTCAATCGGATGTGATATACATATTAGACCAAAAGAAACTGTTTTCGTTGCAGAAAAGGAATAGCCAGCAAAATAAACTATACCCGACGCCAAATAACAGACAAAGACTTACTATTCCGATCTGTTCTTTCCAGTAATTCCTTTACATAGTTCTGTAAACAGAGTCGCAAATGCGCTGAAAGTTGTGGAGCAGGAGGACTGGCCGCATGACCCAAACGACGACGATCACTCGAGGACAGCAAGACCAATCGTCGCGCCAAATGATACGGCTGTTGTGAATCATGTGAGCGCCAATGATTCATTGCCAGCATCAACTTTTCTCTGTTCAGAAAAGACGCTGCGACGTAGTCTAATAGAGACCAAGCCAGTGTGTGTGCACACATAGTACCCGAATGTCCGTCCAGGACTGTGAAAAGGCAGCTAGAAACGACCCCATCGACCTAGGTTAATGTGAAAAAGTAACGGTGGATACGGAGCTGGTGAAAGACAGACAGACTGACAGACACACACAGAGTTAGTTAAAATTTTCATTATGGGCACTCATTAAACCTCAAAGCACATACGATATTTGTGACTAAGGACTACTCGACCCTATTGCTCTACATAGGAACTCGTTTGGAAAACTAAACTTAACAGCATAGGCAGACAGAATACGATGGAGCAACACAAAAATATACCAAAACAGGTGTTCACTTCTTCAACATGTCGCATTTTTTGTGGAACGATCAAAATAATTTCTGAACTTTGTAAGAAAGGTAGAAGAGTGTTGATGCATGGTTTTCGGTGACACCCTAAGACCGGGTACACAAGTGTGGATTCAATCCAGAGATCCTTATTACATCGTCACCACTTAGGCAGACTTCCTTTATAGCTGTTGGATTAGGCAGTAGATTTGAGTAAACCACAGAGAAGTAGGTGCCATCGTATACCGTACTCCATTATCGGGTCAGAGTCGGTTGATGAGATTAACTTCCGAACAAAACACAGTCCGAAACTACTGTCTCCGTACTGCACGGTTTCCGACGCTCGTACAACGCAGACGTCTACCGTGTTTTGGGCATGTTCTGTGCAAACCTGCCACAGTGCCGTGTTCCTGCTCTAACTGGTGAAAACTTGGTCGGACACCGTAAGAAAATCCTGATATTTGATCCGTCTACAGCACGCACCGCTGGAAGACAGGCTGTGCTGAGTTTGCTATCGATCGTAAGCAAATGATGTTCGGCATATCCATGAAGCTGGCTTATCCTCTATTCGTTATCGGCTACCGAGAAGTAACTGATCGGATCATTAGTGCTTTTTTACGAAAAATGTTGAAATATCCTATGGTTATCACATCAGGAAATTTTTGTTCTGACCGCTTAGCTAGAGGGTTTAAAAATGCCCAACTTCTAAGTTTATCTGAAAACCCGGTAGAAAACATAATGATACTATCTCTCGAAAAGTAGTGTGAAAGAGAGTCTGGAAGAAAATCGTTTCAAATGTTTAAAAAAGTGGTGAAACATGAAACCGTAAAACAATCGCGATACAGAACCAATGAGTGTAAACTCCCGAAAACAATTGGATGCATGTGTGCATGCGTACGCACTGTCTCACCTGTGTAAGTCCCACATTCCATCGATCTTCTAAAGGAGTGTTAGCCGCTAGCTGGTTAACATAAATCTTCCGAATGGGACATTCTTTGCTCAACCACCCCGATTCAATGTAGCTGGCGAAATCTACTTCCACTGCTCCAGAAGAGAGAATCTTTTCAATTTTCTTTTTTGCATCGTTTCGTCCCAGAAACTGAAAGCCGTGAGCATGGTCTCCAGTTAATGTATGCAAGGAACGCTTCCAATCTGAGTTTAGCCTGCGGATTGTATGATGAAGCTTCTGGCGCCACCGACTACAAATCCCAATCGTTGAAGTCATGATTGAACAGCAAGCGTCTCAAATAAGATAATCAATGCATTGTCTGTAAAAGAATGGTAGGAGATTGGGTCTTTGCATTACGTTCATCCGATTTGCCCAACAATTTTACACCAAAAAGGGAAATATGAAATCGTCCATTCTGTGTTGTAGCATGGATTATGCTGAATTCAAGACAAAAGTAACAAATGGAAAATTTTGCCCTTTTGAAATCATCGCCAACATAAAGTGAAGCGAGCTTTGGGGATCGCTGCCAAGCTCCCGACGCACGCAACGGAGGGGAGGTACTCCAAGATGGAAAGGGATTAGGCCAAATTGGAAGGAAGCAAATAAAGTGAACCTCTAGGGTCAACACAGCGAGTGCACAACTTAACTGTACACACGTACCTTTTCAAAAGTTCTGACCTGAAAAAAAGGACAAGAGTGTGCGCCAAACAAATCACGGCACAACAAACTTCATAAGAGAAAAACGTTCCATGATAAACCAGTGAGCGGAATACCGCCAGGTTGCTCAGACCAAGGTAGGTGATTTTTCTTTGGGGAATTCACAATCGAAGCCTTCGGTTAGCCAAAGCCTGAGCCGTAAAGCATTGGGGGTGGTGTGAAAACCACAATACTTGGGTTTCGATTTCCAGTTCGTCGGGTCATACGCCGTTTTGATGAAGTCAAAAGTTCAAGATGCCCAACACACCCCCATACTCAATCGAGCCAGTGACCACTACCATTACCTTAGGTACCCATTGGGGAAACCATCTTAATCAACTGTCCACTTCCTCTTCTCACTCCCAGACCGTAGGAGATGCATCCTGTTTGCGCCAACCATGGGATGTCACTCAGCGATCAACTAATGAGGTCAGCCACTCAGAGGCTATCAGATGTTTGAAACTAAAATCTCCTTTTCACTTAGCCGCGTTTAATGTCCGCACGCTCCATCAGATCGGTCAACAAATTACCTTAGCCAGAACCCTTGAAACCTTCCTTTTAGATGTATTTTATGTCTCCAAAACACGCATACAAGGCCCTACTTTAATCATCTCCCTGCGTTCTTCAGATCCAACCTCAACCTCACGCTTCACTCTCCGTGTATCAAGCGATTCGGCATCCGAAGCTCACGGTGTTGATGGTCTTGGGACTGCGCTAAGTGTCAAGTCCAAGCGTACAGTTCTCGACTGGATCTCGGTCAACCGTGGACTTTGCGCTGTACGTCTGGATGGTTCAGTACGGATCAATCGCTGCAGATCGAAGCGTCGATGCTAATTCGTCGTATCCGCGTATGCACCAACTGATTGCAGTTCGCCAGAAATGAAATGAATTCTACAGGGGCCTCTCTTAACTGCTCCAAAGTGATCGGCAAACGGACACCGTGGTGGTCGCCGGAGACTTCAATGCTCAAGTGGGATCTTTGGACGAATCAGAAAGGTGACTTGGTGGTTCACATGCAACCCCGGCTAACCGGACTGACAATCGAGAACTCCTACTCCAACTCTGCGCTGACCACGGACTGTTTCTGTCAAGCACGAACTTCTCGTACAAAAAACGACACCGCCTTACATGGAGACCGCCAACCGCTTCACAGCGCTGGACTCAAATCGACCACAACGCCATCAGCCACCACTGGCGAGGATCCATTGAGGACTGCCGCTTCTTCTGGTCAACACCCGTGACCACAAACTACAAGCGAGATTCTCCCTACGCCTGATAAACAACCGCAGAAAAGCCATAGAAGATGAATGCTCAAAATCCAGTGTCAGCAATGGTTGCAATCGGCCTTCGAAGCAGAACTATCAGATCGTCTCTCAGCACAACCATCAGCTGGAGGATTCAGCGAACATGGGACGGCAATCAAGAAAGCAATCCAAATCTCAATCAAAACGTCAGATTCTGGTACACAATCAAATAAAAAAAAACGATGGATCTTCCGACTACGTTTGCTCGCAAAGCCATTTCTTTGGATTCAAAATACGACAAAGCGCGCAAATATCTTACACGCCAGCTCATCGAGAGCTTGAGAATGACCGCGAGAATCGGTGGGTAGGGAAGTGTAGAGAGATGGAGATAGCTGCGGCCATCGATAATAGTTGTCATCTTTTCCGATTAATTAGGAGTGCATGCGTAAGTGAGGTAATTAAGGAATCCGACGGTACACTGACGCATATGTAGCAACGCCGTCTAGATCGATGGGCAGAAGATTTCAAGGCTCAGTTCAGCTGGCCTTCGTCAGCAAAAGACCTCCCTATACTCGATTCAACTTTGCGAATATTGCCACTGTGAGCTACACAGGATGGCTTTTCACGGCCGTAGATCCAATCATGCCTGAAAATTCAACGGGTAGAGGTCAAACAAAGATCAGTCTCACAAAGCCAGCTACTTCGGCACTTGGCTTCTTTCTTCTATCCACACCCACCCCTAGAAAGGTCACTCCAGCAAATAAACACGATGAGAGGCAGTTAGCATGTCAAAAAACTCCGCTAGATGGACGTAGGAGCGGGGTACCTGGGGCTACCTCTCGATAGTGGGAGAAGTCTTCGCACGTCATTGGACGGCTACCACCGCCAAAACCAAACAGCACCAACCAATAAGGTGGTGGCCCGACCACGTTCCGCTTGTCTCATCGGGTGCATGAGACTAAGGGCCAATCCCAAACAGCTGACCGACAATCAACGAACCGGAGAAGAGTTCACTGAACCGAAACCCGAAGGCCTTGCGTGACAGGTCTCAAAAAGCTCCCATAAGGGCGCTTCGGTCACCCTCCTGTGTTGGATTTATGCTCCACTGCCTTGTGGGTCAAACTCTTAGGTGGAAGACTCTGGTGAGAGCTGCCGCGACGTATGTCGTACCCTAAATTCTGAGGCACCCATTTTAAGAAAGATCTTCCTCTTCCGTCAAAATAGTGCCACTCCCTGTTTACCTAACATATTACTACTAACTTGGTATGTATTGCGAGTTTGGCAGCGATCAGTGAAGTTCGTTTCACTGTATTTCGCTGTACAATGATGATGATGCTAGTGCGCGAGAAGTCATCAGCTCCGTCAGACATATAGAGATGGTACAGCAGGAAGAACGGAAAGACGTATGGGATAGGGGAAGGATGACAGCTGATGTACGAGCTTTGTCGCTCCCCGTTTTCGTTTAATTAGAAGTACAGGACCAAGGAAAGTAGGTGTAAGTGAGGGAATTAGGGAATCCGATGACACTGATTCGAATTCAGGAATGCCGTCTTGACCGCTGGGCTGAACATTTTAAGGTACAATTCAGCTGGTCCCAGCGACACAAGACCTTCCCCTACTCGCTCCAACTGCTCAAATACTGTCAGTTGACATCAGTCCTCCATCTGATATGGAGGTTATCAGGGAAGTTATCCCAA